TTATGTATTTGTACACAGATGATGCAATATTATTGAATGAAAAACCAAGTGATTAGCAGTGAAGGTTACATAGATTGTGTTATGTAACAAAGATTATAGAACTGAAAATTGAAACATCAAAAATAAAATTAACATATTTAGACAGGGAAAATAATACAAACTAATTGCAGATTATACATAAATGAAATATTGATAGAACAAATAGATGATTTATATATCTTTTTAGAGGGTTTACTAAAGATAGATATATTTTTAGATGTGAGGATGCTTGAAGAAAGGCAAGTTAGCATGTGCTCTATTATGAGGAATGAATGTCAAAAGAAGCAAAAACTGCAAATACACTTCTACCTACTTTCTTATATGAAAATCAGATCTGAAAAAATTAGAAGATAGAAATTGAATGCAATGGGAATAGATTACTTATTAGTACAGTATGTGTGATAAAATTACTAGAGGATCATGAATTAATAGATGCTGAAAAATATAGAATGAACACAAACATGATCAACCTGTATTTGGGAGGATTATTTTTATTGGGGTGGAGCTTTATTACCTGGTGTTATTGTTATTGTGAACTATCTAGAGTCTATAGACAATATAGAAATTCTGTATAAATAAATGTATTAATGAAGGCTTGATGAAAGAGTGAAAATCCCATAGTACAGGTGGAATTGTAAACATTAATTGGACAATCAATAAACCAATTTTTATATAGTCACAGACCAGCATTAATTGGATAGATTTGGGGAAAAGTAGACTGGGGAAGTGGCAAGGAATCTGGAGAAAATATAGTTCAAAGATATTTGTATAAACTACTAATATTATAAAGACAACAAAGAAAGAGTAAAACATAGAGAAGTATGAAGGAACTTAAATATTAGTTTAAAAGGAACTGCTACCGTATGGAGACAGGTTGAATGATTCATATAGCAAATGGAGAAAAATCAAATGTAGTCTTATGGTTCTCTTCTGAGAGAATATAAGGTAACAATCTCTAACAAAGTGAGGTAATAAAGTTCAAATGCAAAGTAAATCTTTAATTAACTTATCTTAATTGCTAATTCCTGAACTGAAGGTAAACATAAAACATACTTCTAGTCCATATTTCTGACAAAACACATTTAATGGCAAAAGAGTTATACTGGATCATACTAGGATATGGAATCCTTGGTGCTCTCTGAGCAACCCAGAATACCAAAGAAAGAAAATGACTAGCTATACAATCACTTCCAACAAAATGAGATGCACACACAGTTTTATTAAAAGTGTCTGACCACTCAATTCACTACAGCACAACCACACTATGAAACAGATAACATTCAAAGCATCTTAGAAATAACCAATAGACAACCAAATGGACTCACTGTAGCATGCAAATCAATTAAAGTCCTCCACAACATCTTAAGTATACTAAAAGACCTTGTAGCCAAATCGAAAAACAGAATTTATCTATAACCTATAGTGCAGACATGTCAAACTTGCGACGTCACGTGACATCACACAACATATTGGAGCTTTTTCCCCAATGCTGGCAATAGTGTGGGCACGGTTTCTTTGTGACGCATCTAGCCCGCGGGCTGGCAGTTTGACACCCCTGCTATAGTGTAAGAACTGTAAAAGCCACTATGTAGAACAGATGGGCAGAAGATTAGCAGAACATATCCATAACACCAAGACATGATGAAAATTTCACAACACACCATAACACATGGACAGACTCAACGATAGTTTCAAATGGGAAACTGAGCAACTTCAACCAAGCTAAATCCAAAAATGCTAGAGAATTCCTGGAAACTCAAAATTTGTTCAGAGAAATCGGCCATCAATAGACACAGAGATAAACTAACTTTATGTACCATTCAAAAGAGACAATAAAAAGCTAAGAAGGAAACAAAAGGACTAGACCACATCCTCTTCAGCAGCTTACACCAGATAAGCAGACAAAATCAAACAGAAAATAATACCCTAATCAAAGAACTATTAAGGAACTATTAAAGACAAAACTACCAACCACTAACACTGGCAGGGCAAGCTAATGTATATAAACAGGGAACAAACTCCACACTCATTTGCACTGATGGCATTTAGCAGTGTAATGAAATGTCTGCAAGCAAACAACCAAGCTCAGAGAACACCAGGGATTCACAATTCAACCTGAAGCTACATATATTACCTTCTATCGTAATAGGGTATCTTGTATCATTTGTCTCCTTTGATATAACACCTATATATAATGGCTGTTTCCAAGCTTCTATAAATTACCCTTTTACAACTAAAAATGCAGATGGCCCAAAACTCTACTCTCTGTGATAGTAAAAGATAGTAGCAAAAATCCATAGTTGGGTTGAGTGTCTATTGATATTCAACTTAAATGAGCCAGAAAATCAATAAGTAATTTGAAATCATAAATGTACAAATTTAGGATGTATCTAACAGCTACAAAATGTTTCCATTTACTTTTATTGTCAAATACATTTTAATAACCATAATGTACTAGATAAATATGTCATTAGAGCACCAATATTAATAAAGTTGAACAAATATTCTACTTGGAAAAATAATATATCCAACACGAAGAGTAGTCCATTCAAAAACTGTGAAGATTTTTTACTTGGCTGCAGCCAAAAGGCATCTGTTGACATGTAAGAAATTCTGTTTCCATACAGGTAGTATTTTCATGTCCAAACATTGTCCAAGGAAAACAAAACTAAATTTGATTGAATGCCTTCCAATATGTTGGCCATAGCTCCCATAATCTCCAATTAGGTTCTACTTCCACTTATACCCCTTTTGGATCAGAATATAATTTACAAATAAAATGGAATTAATTATCAAAATAATAAATGTCCAAATTGTAAACCATTAAAAAAGGAAATGAAACATAAGTCAAGTAATCAAAAAAGAAAAGACAAAGTATAGCAAAATCCAAAATGAAACACTACTGACTAAATCCAGTCTGACCATCAATAATTGTATTTTAAATTTCTGAGTAATGCCACTCTAAGGCTTTAAAAGGTTTCAATGGGTATATCCTGTTCTGGATGCAAAGTGTGTATTACCGTCTCTTACAGGAGATAGACATACAATCCTGGATCTTAGGGCTCTGCATGCTCTGAAAATTATTTGTAAGAGATGCTCTGGAACATGTGGGAGATCAAACTCAGCAATTTAAAACAACTGTCTCTTTATTAGGACTCGGCATGAACTAGAAAAATATACAGTTAACGCATCACATAAAATATGCAGCTACTTGAATGAGTCGACTTATGTTTCAGAATGCATTCTTGGGCTCAGATTTGGAATCAGAGGAGGAGACCACTGACCACCGATAAGCAGCCAGGGCCAGAGCCAGTTTTAGAAATTCTGACAATGAACTGTAAGCTCCAGTGCTGCCATACTGACTGTCATCTGAGCAGGCAAAGGAGATAGGGCAAACAGCAACAGTAGTCTACTGGATTCAGTAATAGCTTTGTTCCCTATGCCATCCATCTGGTAAACTCGCAAGATTCATTTTTCTTGCCGTGCAGATATATACATAACCCAGACTAGACTGTTGTTTCTCTGTGTCATATAATACAAGTGGGGATATGCATAATTCTGTATTTATTTATTTATTTATTTATTTATTTATTTATTTTTGTCATATTTATGTAGTGTATATCGGAAGTGGTGACCCTTTGAGAGCTGAATCTAACGAAATTTCATTTTAATGTATGCCGATTAGTGTACATTCAAAGTTACAATAAAAGTTATTCTATTCTATTCTATTCTATTCTATTCTATTCTATTCTATTCTATTCTATTCTATTCATAGCTGCCATTGTTCTCTGAAGTTGAGGGCATGGAATTACTACCCAACGCCATCACCAGGGTTGCTTCTAAAATGATCAGTAAACATAGGCTCTCATTTGACGATAGTCACTGTTAACTCTCACTCTGTGTGCCTTGAATTATGAAACTTGCAATCCTGATTTTGAACCTGGACTAGCTGATGAATCTGCTATAAGATTTTACCCCCAGATTCTGCCTGACTACTCTCCTGTGTGCCACTTAGATTTTGAACACTTGTAAGCCAAACTTGCTGAACTTCGGGGGAAAATATTTCTCCATACTGCAAGTTTATGTTAGCAAAATCACCCTTTCGTGTATTTGTGTATGATTGGTCTAGGACAGGACATTCCAAAGAACACTGCCCAAATATTTTGTGAAGAATATATTTCCACAGTTCCATTATTCTGTCTTTTTAGACTATATTATTCAGATTATGTATTCCACTCTGTAATTATTTCTGATACTTTACATTCTCTTTTATGAAAAGTATGCTATATTGATAAATGACGAGGTTTAGTATGCTAAATTGGGAATGCAGTTCTATCAATGGTTCAGTACATCAGAAAACCAACCTAAAGTTTTTGTGACTGTGAATATTTTTAGATATAATAAGGTAGATTAAATAACATTGGCCTGGCTGATTGCACAGTTCCTCCTAACTTTTACCATTATTAAATTCTAATTCATTTGCTAAAGTAATTTACATTCTTATTTCATTCAATGTGTGTAAGACTGTGCAAATAATTCTTCCCTAACACACAATATTTAGATAATTGTAACTTGCTAAATTTCACAGTCTTGTCAAATAAACTTTATTAAAACAGTTCTGAAAATGTAACAGTCTAGATTTCCTCTGTACCACACAAGGGAGTGTATTAATTTATATTTTTCATGTAATGCTTAAGTGAGGATGAAGAAGTTGATAGAACAATCCATTGATCTTGGGACATTTTAAATATATTTCTGGATAATAAGCACTTGGGCTATTTAATATTTTGAATAATAGTAGGTAAGTATAATTCCCTAACATTTAAAGTTTTCCTACTCTTATTTCACTACTTTTATAACACTGTGATAAATAATAAGATGAATAATAAAAGATATGTAATTGAATCTAATATGCAATACACATATAGCTAAATAAAAAATATTATATATTATAGACATACATGGTAAACGTTCTTTTTTAGGCCTCCTAATTGGTATTTCTCTCCATGTGTCTCCATCTCCTTGGTCTTCAGATAACCAGCAGTTGACAGGAAAACATATTTCTTGCTCAGATGGCAAATTCATCTTTTGAAATCTAATTTCATTCAGGTACCAACTGGGATTTTCTCCACTGTTGTCATGACCAATTCGGATTTTATATGGTTCTCCAATATTTTTTAGGTTAATCTGGAAAATATAAATAGATAAGAAAAGCTTTCATTATACTTCAGTTGCCCGTACAGATAAATCTAAATAATTAAATGAGATGAAACCAAAATGTTCATAAACAAATCCTCCAATAACTTTCATTAACATAAAGTAAAAATAGCATGTTGTTTAAAGGCCTGGAGGGGAATAAGAAGGTCATAGTCTAATGATGAGAAATGTACTAAAGTGGGCAGCTTAACTTTTCTCTGGACATTTTTCTTAGGAGACTACTGTCCAGTTGAAGGACAATTACCAAAAGTTCCCTCACCCTTACTTAGAGCTATTGGCAAGAATTGAAACTGAAAAGAGATTTGGAGAAAAGCTCTATTGCTCATTTTGGAGCTTATGTAGGTACATATTGTATGTCATAAACATATGATGCTCTTTTAAATATTGAGGTCCCAGACCACATGATTATAACATTCTATCTAATTCTACTAAGATTTTATATTCAGAGATGAGGCAGCTGATTAAAGTTTAAACTTAATGACCTTAGTTATAGTTTTACCCTAAATATCATTGCTATCCTGCTTAAGGATCATTTTGCTTAAGTATAAATGTATAGTAATAGATTTATTCAGAGTGCTAACACGAGATTTAGTGATTATCAAAAACTTCTTGCCTTTACTTCGTTAATCCTAAAACAATACATTTAACAAATATATTATTATGCTAGGTCAAAGCAATGACATTTGAACACAGTTAAATAAAATGAAGAGCCAGTATGGAATAGTGGTTAAAACATCAAGCAAGAAACTGGAGGACCATGAGTTCTGGTCCCATACCCAACCACACAAATGACTTCTTGTACACATGCACTGAAGCCAAGGAGTATTATACACTTCTTTATTTCTTTCTGCTGAACTAGTTAAAGATGTAATGCAAAATATTATTATATGCTGAACTAGTTAAAGATGCAATGCAAAATATTATTTGATTTTGTGTCCTGGATTCACATATTATGGTAAGTACCAACATCATTAGTTTCTAGTGTATTATTCGAAACCAGGTTTTTATAGAAGATGACCAGATGACCAGGCTGAGCCCAAGGGTGGGGTCAAATGCATTATCAGTCATAAGTCCCTAAGACTGTTAGAGATCTACTTCTAGCCCACCTTGAGTTCCTGTAACTACCACCAGTTTGCTTGGACTGTTAGTAGTTCAAGTTTGTGTAAAGAGTTTAAGCTTGCAATAAACTTTTATACCCATTTGAACTGCCTGGATCTCCTGATTTCCCTGGCGCTTGACAATTTTGTTGTTAACTTACTAACTACAACTATGCATGATGTGCAAATGAATGCCCAGACTGCTTGTAGTTTCCCACCTTATTCCTAGTTTGGCTGTTATGTTCCTCCCAAGCTTACGGGAACAAAGAACACATTGCTTATAAAAGGAAGAGAGACAAACTATGATTATTTTGCTTGTTGAAAATGCAAACTTTAGTTTCATCAACACTCTAATGTTAAAATAATTAAACACAGGTGAATATAATCATATTACATATACATGGATGCCTCTGATAGTCATGTTGTATTTTAAATATACAGTATGTCACATCCAGCCTAAGAATGACATAGATTAAGCCAGCCAAAGTTCAGTTCTTTATTTGCCAACACCCAACAGACAGAATCTTGCCAAACTAAACGCTTACTACTCACACCCTAATGGATATACCTTGGGATATTTTAGGAAGTGGTTATCCTAACTCTTTTCTTTTGCCTCCTATTCAGCTTTGGGCTATGTTGCTTCTTATCTGCCCCTCCCCATGGAATTTTCCCCCTCCTTCTTGAAAAACGGCCACATCAATGTAACGCATCACACCAGCCTCTTGATTTATTTCTTCTATTGCTCCCCAGCATCTGATGTATTGGGAGGAATGACACTTCACTGATTGGTCTCTCCACATACTATACACCAAGGATATCCAGGACCTGCAAAGGTGACCATAGTGAATGTAAAGCCATATAGTTGCAGCATCACTTTCCTATAACCTTCCTTCTGGTTTGCTGGCCAAATGGCAACCAAGATCACCCACAAAACATTTGTCTTTGGAGTAGCCTTTCTCATCAAAGAGGGGCTACTACACCTTTGGGAGATGAGAGGCAGCCCCTTATCTCCAGAATGAAGTAGGAAAACTTTTTTTAAGCTCACAGTTAGCACTGAATTCTATAGACAGAATTGAAAAATGGGCCTTACTGAAAGTAAGGTCTCAATGAGCAGCTTTTTACAGAATAATATTTTAATAGACCACAATCCTGAAACCAAGAAAATAGGCTCAAACAATAGCTGCTACAAGAACAACCTTAATGTAACTGCCTGATAACACATGTGCTGACTGCACGCCTTTGATAGCTTTGTTTTCCCCTCCTGGGAAATGAATCTGCTCTTTTCCTCCTTTTCCCTTCAATAATTCCTACCAGCCCAATTTCCACAGTCAGCAACATTCCCCATCCCAAAATCCTCCCAACTCCCAACCTCATAATCCCTTTCTTTCCTTGAAAAGATTGAGCCTTTGAGTGACACTCTGCAATTTTTCCTTGTTACTGTACCAAATTTCATATCGTATTTGTGAATTCCTGCTCTTGCATCATAAAAAACTGGCATCCTTCAGCAGCAATTTCACATTTAAAGATTTGCGTATAAAGAAGCAGTGTTCTTTACCTCAAGGCTGTTCACTCTGCTCCTTAAGAGTACGTAGGAGTGTTTATATTATATTTTCATCCATTAGTACAGCCTATCTGCCCGTATATTAAAAAAAACTGACAAAAACCACAGATTCATCTGTACATACATAAGCATCTATCTGTACTGAACAGTCTGTTCTTTAATTTGTTCAAATTTCCAAATTATTGGAAAACAACCAAAGGATATGGCAGGTGTCATTTGTGTGCAAATTGACAAAGCTTTATCTTCAATTTACCTAGTGTTCCAGTTACCAACTACCTTTAAGCACAGATTGCCAACTGTGCTGAGATGTGCCAACTTATGTAATGTGTTTTGAAGGAGCAGCAGACAGCTGAAATCTATACAACCACTGCTTATTCAAGACATTCTGTCAGTACTTACTAACCTTAAGAATATTACTGCCAGTACAATGCAATAAGAGGTGTCCTTTCTGTCTTCTTCTATTTTATTTCACTATTGCAAGCAATAAGGATGCTTACACATCCATCACTGTCAACATTTCTTGATATTTGTACCTTATATAAATGTATTTCTAACATGTCTGCAACATGCAGGAAGTAGGGTGCAGAATTATCTTTCATTCATAGCCACTTCACATCTTTATCAAGAACATCCAGGTTACATTAGCAAAACAATAACACCTAAAAGCTGTTAATATATTTTGCGCATTTATATTGAAAATAGAAGCAACATATAGGGAGATCTGCGCATAGATCCAAAGAACCAAGGGAATGGCCCATTTATTCCCTGTATTATATAACAATGAATTTTTAGAGTTATTCATAATAACTAATACAAATCCAAAGCTTTTAGTTTTGAAATTTGAAATGGATTGACTTTGGGTAATTCCTTTTTGTAATATGTTTAATTCCAGTGATTACAGTGGTGGGATTCAGCCAGTTCACACCACTTTGGAAGAACCGGTGACTATTGTTTGTTGTTGCCCAGACCCCGAACGGACTTCCGGAAGTGGCATCCACACAGAGAACCGGCTGTTCACATAATTGAATCCCACCACTGGGGCTAAGGTTTATAGTTCATTGCATGCAAATGGTCTCATGTTCAATATTCAGCATCCAGAACTATCCCTTTAAGAACTTTGGACAGCTTCAGACAATTAGGCATCCACCAGATTCTGCTGAAGTTGAGCTTTTAAATAGAAACAGACAATTGGGGATATTATTGTTTTTCTGAAGCTAGGCAAACGTGCTACAACTATTCTGTTCAAATTCTAAGCCTCCACAAATCTCCATTCCTGACCCAATTTTCCAAACCTCCAAATTTTGAAGGGAGGAAGCATGGTAGTAATTAAAAAAAATTGTCTAGGCAAAGGATCATATGGTAAGTGCAATATGGAGAGCAGAAGGAAGGGAGAAAATCAGTGAGTGATAGGTCTTCCCTCAAATCCCTCTGGAGAATGGGGAAATCTTGGTGATAACATTTTTTAACATTTATTTCACCTCAGCCACATTTTCTCATCCTGGTAATATGTTTTGGCATAGAATTAACTTGCTAATATGGCCTAGTGCAGGCATGTCAAACTGCCGGCCTGCGGGCTGCATGTGTCAAGCGGAAACCGCGCCCACCCCATTGCCGGCAATGGAGAAAAAGCCACGATACGTCGCGTGATGTCATGTGAGATTGCGAGTTTGACATGCTAGTGAGTATTTTATAAATTAATATAAATTAGTATTTTCTATTTCCAGCTCAGTTCATGGCAAAGTGCTCCCAAAAAATCCATATAAATTAATCTTGCATATATTCAGCTGAGTTCATGATAATGTATTCCAAGAAATGCATTCAATTTCTTATTTCTTATGACTCTCCTGTCTTTCCATAAAACAATCTCAACATATACATGAAATCTGAAAGAAGTGTTTACAGAGATTTTCATCATGTTTACTTTTCAAGAAAAGAAAAAAAGAGCTTAGATTGAAAATCCTTGCATCATTCTCTATAAAATATGATGCACTTCACTGCAATCTAATAATGTAGTTTGCTTATAAAATTCATATATTCTTTCAAAAGACAAAACCGTAACTGCTTAGGTTTTCTCATGACAGGCTACTAGAGAGTATTAGACTATGGAAGATATATTAGATGACTTGCAAAAAAGACATAGTCAGGCTATCAAGATTAGACAACCCTGTACAACTGAACAACTAAGCTGTGTAAGATCCCATGATGTAAATGCATTAAGTATAAGGCAGATTATAGATTTAAGAAAAGATGGCAGAGCTGAATCTGCAATACCAAAATAAAGTATATTTATTTTAACTGAAGGTACATTTCATGTCACATATTTTATTTTGGGAGGAACTAAATCTATACAATTAATCAAAACAACAGATAAATACTGAGAATGGGAGGTGTTGTCTCCTGTCTTGAAATAAATCCCATTAGTTTGTGCTTGTCTCTTAGTCCCACAGACATTGATTTCTCAGATATCAATGGAACTCACTTCAAAGTTCAAATTCAAGGTCTTCTTCTATAAAGTATCTGCACCTGGATTAGGGGAAGGTGACTGTTTTAATTTTTAAAAGCAAGATATAATCATTTCTGAAAGGGGTAAAATGTAATGTTGGTAGTTGCAATGGCTATTACAATACATATTTGTTTAATTTTGTTAACTGTCATCATTTTACATGCCTTTTACATTTTACATTCTGTAGGCAACTGTGCATCAGCTCTCCAGACTGGTGCCTTTTAGATTTATTGGGTAACAATTCCCATTACCCCATCCCACCATCTTAAGGGCGTGAAGGTGGCTACTTACTTTGTTATCTATGAAACTGGTATGTTTTATTAGTTTTTACTGGATTTCCCTGTGGATAATATCTTATACAATCTTCCACACCTCTCCTTTCAAATGTATTGAATGTTAATAGGAAGCAAAAGTGTTTTGGTTTATTTTCAGATAAAATGAAAATTCATGCATTTCATAATAACATACGATTAAAGTTTTCTTTAAGTTGACCTGAATACCTGATGACTTCCTGGTTACCTAGTCAATCTTGGCTGAAAAACTATACATGAGCTTGGATGGTAGATCACTAAGAAATCATAGGGTTTTATTCCAAAATGGGAAGTGGAGCAAGTATTCCAAAAGAAGGCAAGAGCAAAATATTAATATATTGTTGCCAAGAAAATGAACAGTCAGCTGCAAGATAAAACATGTCGATATGCTTGAAAATTGCTGTGCTCAGCTGGTAATGGAAATGGGCTATATTTTGGACAACTACTAGTGAATCCAAAAATTGTGACCCAGAAGCTTGCCAGAACTTGGAGAAGCCTGCAGTAGAATTGAAAATCATAGCCACATGATGTTTTATTTAAACAACTGCAGGTGATTTGCTTAATGGCCACAGTGGAAGTGAGGCTGCAAGATTGTTGTGTTCACATGATATCTCACTGAATGAGCATGTGGCTTAGTTTTCAGTCCCACTTGTTGCTATTGAGGACTATGCTCCTGTCCTCTAACTGTTTTTAAAGGACATATTAGCATCATACTATCTTTTTCTAAGTAGCAAGGTGGGAACCTAAATGATTATTTAGCTGTTTTAAAATAACTTCCTCCCTTCTCATAACACCAGCCTTGTTGATCTATGAGCCTCTCTGATCAAGTGGTGATGACCTGGTCAAAGGCTGGAACTGGCCCAGCTCCTATTTGTCACCTGAAGCTGCTGCCCTCTGGTAGTTAAGTAGCTCCTTAGTGGTGGTTTATGGTGATTTTGGCTTGGATTGCAGGAGAGTCTGGACACCTGGTTTCTGCAAAGATATCTGCTATCTAGACATTTGGAAAGCAACATTAAGTCATTAAAACATTTTTGGGATAGTAGATGAAGAATGGATGGATGGATGGTAGCTGTTTTGGAAGAACACTAGTCTTGTTTTTAAGTACATGTTTAACAAAGTGTTCAAATAATGCTAGACCACTCAGAAAAGGGGGGGGGAGGACTGGTGCTCTTGCTGATTTAAATTAGCAAGGAGCACCAACTTCTATCAACTCTTTTTTGTTCATCCTGCCCAAATCAGTGTGTTCTAAATTTTTGGAAGCTGCTACTAAAAAAAAGATTTACAGGGCTATGCTTTCTTACTGGTTTCATTACTTTGGGAGGAGGAGCAGCATCAATTTTATTTATTTATTTATTAACATGATAAATAAAGCCCCACCATGGATATAACTTGTCATCTGGGCTACTTTTTCCAACGAGGCTTAGTGGTGTTTCAGATGCTGTCAAAGCCCTTATTCAGAAAAAGCCCAAGTAACAGGCTACTAGTATGGGGAAGTACCATCACGCTCAAGCCTTCCCCATCACATAGCCCTATCACACATTATAATCATTTCTGCAACAGTATGAGACTCTGGTAGGAGGGGAAGCAACCTGGATTTCTCTCAATCATTGCCCTTAAATTGTCTTGCATTATTGCACCAATCGCTGATCTCAACTTTGAGGCAGAATAAAACTTGGTTATTGGAGTAGTACAATTTATATTAGTATATTTTACTGTCAACTCAAGGACTTTAGTGTGGTCATTTTATCATGTATAAAGTCCTTGAGTCCTAAGAATTATCTGGCAGGCTGAAATGTTAGACCCTAAAATCAATGGTTTGTAGCAGGCCAACTTGTGTGCAAGAACTCAATTTCTGTCTTATGTAAATAACAGCAGTATATGCATCAGAAAGGAAAAGAAAAGTTGATATATAGTTATAGTTTAATATCTTCCCAGACTCCTGCCATCTTCTTAGTAATTAATCTTAGTATGATTGGTGCCATGAATATGCAATCACTCAGTTCTTCCAGGAATGCTACATGTTATTTTGATGAACCACTGAGACAATGAAATATGAACTGAAATCATTACAATAGAAGCATTATAAATGTCTGTCACTTATTCACCTTAGAATAAACCTGTTTTGAATAACTCAGCTACTCTTCATTGTTTATATGAAGTCATATTGTACCTGGAATGTATCTGTACTGTTGGGATTAAACAGCTGGTGTTTTCCAGATCCCAGTATAAGAGGACCCAAAGCCTTGTTATCTCCGTAAACATAAAGGGACACAGTTGCTGTTGTGCCAGCTGTTTCAAAACCTCCAGTGACTATAGTGATTTTCCAATCTTCTCCTGCAGGTAAACAAAATTAAAATGAGTTCCACTGACAGAGCAGTTTTATCTCAGTAACTACCCGGTGCCTGGAGAGCTGTGCAGTACCAGCTTTATTGCAAACAATGCATCACTAAGCCTAGGAAACGGGAACAATCGAATGCTTAAAAGAAAAAGCAGGTGCTCAGGGATCAGGTGGCTGGATGGTAAAATATTTTAAACTAAGGTTATGCTTTGATAATGTTTTAAGAGCAGATAGAATTACATGACACAAAGGTCAATCAAAATGCTATCTAATGTAGATTTACCTGAAAGTAATCTCTACCAAATAGTAGAAAGAGGATTTTATTCTTAGAGAACATGCACAGAATTGTGTGATCAAATTCAGAACATATTTGAAAAAAAGGATATCCATTTTAAAATGTCATGTAATTAAAGATTTTAGTAGCTTATCTCACATTCTTTCATACTGTCAATATATGGATAAAAATATATTAATGATTTAACCTGTAAGCCACTTTGAAGGCTATTGTAGGATTCAAAATGATACCAAATGACTTATTAATAAATATACACATGTATGGTTGATAGTATAATATCCCAATCATTTTCTGGTACTGATAGCTTTAATTGGGGTAGAAGAGGTACTTCCCTCTATCATCTAGGAAACTATCACTATAATATCAGACTACTATAATAGGCAAACTAATACTAGAAATTAGAAGTATTTTTTTATATAGCAAAAGGCACATCCTCACATGATTCCCCCACTGTGTGCTATAGAAGTAGTTGACTCTAACTAGAATTGACTGAGACCAAATTTCTAAGTAACCCTCCATGTTCTCAAATATGTTCCTTCATTTACAATTTGCATTCAAAAAGTAAGAACCATGATTAAAATTATTTTCAAATGTGTGTTAGTGTTTATATTTTGAATGGCATTATGAATATATTTTTCTATACATTTAAAAAAATCTAAATGTTTCTATACATTTAGAAAATACTAATCTTCAAGTATGATGTTTAGCAATGTATCAATCAGAATCTACTTGCATCAGATATTTGATTGGAATACACATTTTCAAAATGTTTTTTGATAATTAAACAATAAGTATTGTTCTGTTTAGGAACCATGCAGGAATAATATTTTATTGGTCATAGTTAAAGGGTCCAAATTAACTGGATCATAAATTTTCATCCCTCTTGTATGCAAAATCTTCACACCCTCTGATTCTTTTAAATTATGTTGTTCACCATTTGTGGATGGCTGCATAATTTGCTATAAACCACATTTTCCCTCTTTACACTTAACTAATGATAAGATACCAATCAAAGAGAAATCTCATCAGGAAGAGACCAAAGTCACATTGCCAGAATAAAGAAAAAGTGGCTTCAATACAGCTTGCCTTTGTGAATAGTTAACATGTTTGGATAGATGATAATGAAAGAGAAATAATTCAAAATAAAAGCAGGAATTTCTTTCTTAACAAGTATTGTGGAGAAAGAGAGATATTATATGAGTGCCTTTATTGCTCTCCATAATGTTCCTCCCTCCCAGAAAATGTGTCTGTTAAAAGGAGGCAAAGATGTTCACGGAACCTACACCCCCACATATTTCAGTTCAGCTCTAAACTTGATTAAAAGAAAAAGCAACGGAACAGTTTACCATTTTCTTTCTCTTCCATTTTCGAATGATGATTTATTTGCATTTCTGCCAAAAATAAAACAGCAGTGCAGTTAATAATAGAGTTGTCAGGTTACAATAAAATGCGAAAGGAGGGAAGAGGTGCTAAGTTAATATTAACTCTTCTGCTCCTGCAGAAGAAGAAAAAAATATCTTACACAAACCAGCTTGCTACACTTGAAAAAATCTAAAAGCAACCATCTTTCTATTGTTCTTTGAATAATTTGCAGGACTGCTCCTCCTGTCTGTGTTAATGTTTTTTCCTTCAATCCATGAGACGGATGAAAAGAATACCAACATACTTGGAGCTGCCCCATGCCATTCTCACACAGTTAATGCACAACAACATAATAATACTAATTTTATTTGCATCAACAAAATAAAAATAATTTTATTCGTGGAGTAGGACAACTTAAGGGAAGTGATTAGTGGGTTTCTCTGGCATCATCTGTTGCTTAGAAAAATAAACACCAATTGCTCCCTTAAAAGAAGAAGCTGGTTTTGACAGATGAGTAGACTACCTGTCAGAACCTGGTCCTGAGCCAAATGATGCATGGGAGAAGAAGGATGTGCTTAACTGTTTTACTGAGCAGAAATTTCATACCATTCCATGCAGCTGCTGCTATACCAGACAGATGTCACTCCCCACTGATATCCATGTGGGGATAGGGATGATTTTTGCCTGCTAAAGCATGCTTTACAAGGCAGCACCATCTGTGGATCAAGCACAGGGCTGCCTGGGGCTTGGCAGAGCGGCAAGATAAGACATGTGTGTGTGTGTGTGTGTGGTTATATAGCTGCCAGCCTCCAACCTCATAGATCCCTCTGTTAAGAAAAACAAGGGAATCTCCCCTTCCCCTTTGAGTCTTAGCAACCAACTGTCAAGTTTAGCAATGGTGTGAGGAAGAGTTAGGATAAATAGTTATTTGGTTCAGGAGTAGTTTGAAAGAATTGAACTCTCCTGCTTCCAAAAGCAGAATGACCCTGAAATCAGGAGCCAGAAGGTTGGAAGGTCCACAGCAGCCTCATGAAATCAATGGGAGCTGGGTAGAACCCAGTCCCTGACTGTGGCATCACCATAATTTCTACAAAGGCACTGTAGATCATTTGTACTGCAAGGATTATAGTCTGTTGTAAGAAGAGGAGAAATATTGCTATAAACGTGAGAAGCTTTATTTGAGACTAAATCTGAGGTAAACTGGTGACAAGTTGAAAGAAACTTCATGAGGACAAAAATAATGAAGCATCTTAACATGAAACTGGCAAAATTGTACAAGGATGAACCTATAATCACTGTACTCTGCCCCAAACTCACTGTAAGATAGGTCTGCTGTACTTGATCAGAGCTGCAAATATCCAAATATTATACAGAAAATAAATTCCTTACTGAAGGCCTCCCTCTAACTCCAGATTTGGAAGCCTTATGGTAGTATGGAGAATTGGGAGTTACAAATTCAGCAAATCCTGATCATTATGTCTGTATCTGGTTTTCATGATTGACCAATTTATATGCAACTGATTTACAGGACAGTCCAATATGTTTGCTCAATAGTAATTCAATAGTGCTAGGCCCATAATAAGATTGTATTTAAAAATTCAATTTCCCTCCAAATTCAGTTTATATAATTTACCCTGGACAAAGAGCTCTACTTCTGAATGGATTATTCCTTGAGACATATATGGCAGCCATCTGAAAAAGAGAAGAAAGAATGAATGGAAGGAAGGAAGGAAGGAAAGAATGAAGGGATAAGAAAATATAATTTGTTTATTATTCCTTTCCATGTCTAACATTAATCCAATTAGGGTGACTTTTTCAGTAGGAATACTTACAAGATAATAATTCTTTAATGTTCTGCAAAGCTTTTAACATGTGGTAATAAAATATATCTATACAAAATAGTTGACAGTATCATGCTGTAATCATTCAATTGTACAAAGGTAAGGTATTAATTTCAATAAAGAAAAATAATGAAAATTATAAATTTTGCAAAAAAGGGAGGATTATATGTTTTAATCACATGAGTTGGCAAGTAGAAATTTGATTTTTTTTTCAGAAGATCATGAGGTTTAAGGGTTTTTTCCCTCACGATTGCTAAAGTCTGGTTTAAGGTACGTACACCTGGGATTAATACAGGTTCCTATGCAGAGATATTTCATGTGGACTTGCATAATGTAAAACATATAGGCATCATCTTCACAAAAAGGGTAGGGGAAGGAAACAGCACCAGTCAAGACCCATTGCAAAAGAAAGCAGGAAGCGCAAAGAATTATGTCTGCTATAGAGATATGGTCATATTATACAGCAGGTGAAATGACCAGTTCAAACAACATCAGAGAAGGAGAAGTAGAGATGGAAGACAGCAAAGATGTTTATTAAAAAGTTTTATTAGGAGAAACTAAATTAGCAAGGTTTGTTTTTATACTAACCTTCCTGATAAATAGCACTGGAGAACTGAAAACTCAACACAATGAGTTTGTCAACACATGTTAATTTGATTGATCTTAATAAAGGTATCACTCTACTATCATAATTATTTAGATAAATATTGTATTTATTTTTCACAACAGAACTAAAACAAAAATACCCTAGGAATCTAAAAATAAAGCAAAAGAAATAGATGTTCAAAATACTAAGCAGTTATATTTAAGTCAGGCTTTTTCAAAGTGAGAAAAAAAATACCCATCTATAGATTGGGAAGTGGAAAACAAGACTAAGATTTCGCATTCCATTTTAGAAAAAAGACTGGGTCTTTCACTGTATGCAGAAGATGAAAAAAGAAATGGGTGATCATTTACTAGGGGATGGTAAGCTCATGTTGAAAGACTGGCTGCATTTTTGCAATAGAAAACTACCCCTTGGGGTTTGCCTTAGCAAATTCTAAAATTATATCTTCCTTAGTCACTGCTGTCATATGAAAGGCATTGGGTTGTGAAATATTGCCTTCTACCAAAAAAAAAAAATCCACCCTCCTTTCTAAGTTGATAAATCCTGATGGACCATTAAGAGTTCTTTAGGTTTGTTCATCCCTGGACTTTGAGTGGAATACTTATTGCTATTAGTATTTTAAAAAGCACACATACAAAAGAGGAAGAGATGTATGGTTCAATTCTGGTATTCAAAAATATCTACCCACACGATTTAAGACAGGTACACATTTAGAAAATATTGTAAGAATTTTTGAATTTGTTCTGTTCGTTCTGGGTGTGGGAAATTGTGGGCTGATTATGTCGTTTCTGAAGACTCCGATCAAGCACTTCAATGAGGTACCAACTTGTGCCCCACCACCAGGCTCTTATGATATCAAAACTTCAGACCCATCAAAAGGACACGTGTCTTTTGAAAAGTCTCAGCAATTCAAGATGCAGATGGAAGAAGTAGGAATTCAGCCTAATCCAAGCAACATGGAACCTATGCTTCTCCCAACAACTACAAGAAAACTTCCTTCTCTCAGTTCAAGACCAAAAAACATAGGAATAAAGTCTGACAAGAGTCTGATTGCCATTAAAGCTCTCTTAAACAATCCCTTAAACCATGAACCACCTGGCCAATATTACACAAAGAATCAGGGAACTAACAGGAGATGGAATATTACTTTGTATATCATTATAATTCTAAAATAAAGGAATTATTGCTCATTTAAAACTAAGTTGATATTACAATATCAACACTGGGTGATGTAACAGATGTAGGAATTTGGCTTGGAATGAGAATATGAAATGGTATCAGGAAGCAGAAGAAAGGATTATTTTCTATATTCTATATCTGTTCATATTCCCACTATTAGACAACTGTTAAAGACACAAGAACTCTTTACTTTTGGGCATTAGATGGTACACTAGTTAATGAAAGCAGGAGTGCTAATAGTTAAACCTTCAACCAGATACAGTTACCCCTGTTTTCTAGGTTCTAGAAAGGTTCTAGAAAGTTATGAAATCCTGCAACTAGATATCTCGGGGAGACAAAAAAAAGAGAGAGAGAATTACAGGGGGAGGCAGTATTAAGGGAGACAGGAAATAAACAGAGTGAGCTTCCTTTGAGTTTGGAAGTACAACTTGGGTATTCTCTCTGTAAGAGTGGTTTGTTATTTGTATGAGTTGAGCCCAACCACAGTATCTAACAGGAAAGCAAAATGTTTCTCATCATCAGTGATTTCGTCATTCCAATGAATCAAGTTTGGATGCTTTTTTTTTTTTTTTGCTGATGCTATTTCTTGTGTCATTGCAAGAAATAGAGATTAAAATCAAGGGAATTATATTATTGGCAACATAAAGACATGATATTGCCAGTTTAGTAATCAAGAATTGTTTGGCAAATTTCTTTTAAAATCAAATACAACCTTTCACAGATGAAAATATTTTCCGAGTTTTTCCCAGATTCTCTGATGATTATTTTCTCGCAGTACCAGTCCTGCAACTGATTATCACTTTTGCAGCACAGCAGCACTTTCTGTAGATTTTCAAGTGACACAGCTTGTATTTCAAACATGTCAATCTAGAAGAGACATTAATTCAGACAATAATAAGCAATGATTTATCATAAGCTCAGTGTTGAATAGTGTTTAGGAAATCCATCTTTCCTACCTCTCTGCCTTCAGATTTATTGGGGTTACTTTTGGAGAATTCCTAGCTAGGGGGGCTCCTTCTAAAGAAACTGAAATGTTTTCATTGACTTGAAATGTCAATTTATTTCCAGCAGTACTGAGTAACAGTAGAAGTATAAATTAGCTTTTACCAATAGCTTGATAAGTTAGGACTAGAGCAATATTGGTGTGAAAATGGCAATGAATTTAACATGGCCAACTCAACTCTTTGGACACTTAGTTGCAGAGGAACATGAAGTGTACATCAAATTGGAGAAAGTAAAGCCAGACATGAAATAGTTTGGGGTAAAACAAGCTTAAATCAAGGATTTAGAGATAAATTAGCCTTGGACTAGGGTGGCTTGGTGCAATATTCTGGGCTGTCTTTTGACCATCTTATTCATTTTTTCCTTTTCTTTTGTTTATTACTATACTATAGAGAGCCAGTTTGGTGCAGTAGTTAAGGTGCTAGTCTAGAAACCAGGAGACTGTGAGTTCTAGTCCCGCCTTAAACATGAAAGTCAACTGGGTGCCTTTGGGCCAGTTACTCTTTCTCAGCTGAACTCACCTCACAGAGTGGAGAAAATAGGAAGAGTATTGGGTATCTTCACTAACATGAGTTACTTATAAAGTAACAAATGCAGGATTAAAAATCTAATAAATAAGTAAAAAAATATACTATGTGGTGACTTGTGAGCCATTTGAAGTGACATGGCACAAAATCAAAATCAAATAACTAATAAAATAAAATGGGATGGCATCAAATAAAATATAATAAAAGTAGGAAGTGCAGCCTTTGACTAGTAGACTGTGGCTTGTAGATTAGGCTGACAAATCACAATGAAGTATTATTTTATTGGTATTATTGATATTACATTATTAATTAATATTATATTAAGCAGCAATCCATGGTTTAAAAATAACAATGAATAAATTCACACAATATCCCATGGCATAGCAAAGGAAGTATAGTATAATGCAATAAGAAAACCATCATCTAATTTGGTGCTCAGGGTCTTTATAGATCTCTCCTCAATTAGTTGACTTATCCTAAAATATTTGTTGTTCCCCAATCATAATCAAGCCATCAAAATCTCTGGTAAAGGCAGTTCAAGTTAACTATATTAAAATAACTGAAATTCAGGTGCTCTAGCTTCTAGTTAATATGGAAAATATCCTTACAACTGGCTTATTGAAATGTTACAATTTATATAATGTGATATACATAAGGTAGAACAGTAATTATGATCAATAATGAACAATACAATAGTTACTGCAAGTGGGACAAAACATACTTACTGTCAAGTAGCTATTTAGAACCCTTGCTAGAACCAAAATCATACACTGATAAAAATGTAATGCTTTAGTACAGGGATCCCAATCTATGGGCCATGGGCCATGACTGGACTGTGGGCTCTTGGCCCGTGGGCCATGGAAATGGCTGGCCAGTGCGCGCATGCGTGCTCACACTCTCCCCCCACTTGCACTAGCACCTGCGATCCCATTTGTGGATGCATGCACATGGGTGCAAATGGGGCCACTAGCCCTGGGTGGTGTGCATGGCCCATTTGTGCATGCGTGAATGGGGCCAGGCAGGTGTGTGTGGCCTGTTTGCACATGTCCATGGCACCAGTGCATGCTGCATGCGCGAACGGGGCCGCTAGTGACACACCAGTGTGTGTGGCCTCATTTGTGTGCATGCGCATGCATGCACCAATTTGGAAGCTACTTTTCTTCCCTCCGGGCTGTGAACCCAGAAAGGTTGGAGACCTCTGCTTTAGTATAAGTATTAGGAATGAAAAAAAAGGACCAAGGATTTAACATCAGAAAGGGCATCAAATGGTGCAATTAAAATGATAAATTGTCACTTAGTAGCATTATTCTGCATATCTTTTGAACTAGAAGTACTTTAGTAATTAAGGGGACAACTATGTAACATTCGGATAAGTCTCTGTACATAATATTTTCCAATAAACTTTAACACCACAAGAAGAATATAGTCAATAATCAAGCAATCAATTTATTTTAATGTCAAAAGTATGGCCATCTGGTATCCAACACATTTCCATAATTCACATGTCCTCATTTAAGCATCTAAAATAAAAAGCCTTGTCCAAAGATTTTTGTATGTTTCCTTTCTTTTTTATTGCTGTAACATTTCTTTTTTTAATATATTTTTAGAATCCTGTTTTTTATTATTAATAGTGGTAGTTGGGAGAAGGCATAATTTTTCATTATGAAAACAGGATATTTAGACATAAATAGATTTGGATAGGGATATTGTACAGAACAGAATATATTATAAGATGTAATAAGATATAGGTAAATTGAATGGTGACTTAAAGTCTGAAGTTTGATTCCATTTCCTTCAAAATTGATGTAATGTTCTGCATTAAAATCACATTTAGTTTTTCTATAATTAACTTACAGATAAATAGTTTATGTATTATGAATGTATTATTTAAGCATACTTACCATTCCTCTCTGAAATTTTATAGGTTGGTCTGATTTAGCAAGAAGTCTCAAACCAGAATCTCCTCTTTCTCCATATATGCACAGATAAATGGAAGAAGCAGTTTCTGCGTGTTCCAGATGCCCAGTAGATACGTAAACCTGATAATTCACAACTAGGGAAAGAGAATCATAGCCCAAAATACATTAATGACTTAAATGTATACAATACAAACAATTTTTCATGTTAGATTTAACTATTTCGATTGCTGTTAAATACAGCATTTGTTTAACATAAAGTTTCATGATTGTTATTTTAAATTAGAGGTATATGAACTGCATGGAGTCGAAGGAGGAGAGTGATGTCACATGTGTCATGGTTTCATCACACAAATGGCACCATTTTTATGCACCCAAAATTTACATTTTCATCATGTTAAGACATATAAGACATCACCATGGCTTGTACCAAATCCATGTGTTGAAGTAGCCATAACTGACTTTGATAAGGCAATTGACTTCATACACACTTGATTCACTGTGGAGTGGAGGGGATTCAACTGGGTAGTTGCATTAACCAGAAGAGACACTGGAGCATGTGCTATACATGTGCAGGCACCTCTCTTGGTGCTATCTCTATCTGACTGAAAGGGTTAGAATATGGAAGATATAAATGTGAAGAAGACTTTTCCAACCATTGGAACTACCAGACGAAGTATCAAAAGGAAAATATCAAAATGGCTTTGCATTAGAAGTGGAGAGGAACACACTACATGGAGAAGAAGCACTGAAGAAGAAGTGAAGCATATTAGTTCTAAAGAAAAACAAATGTGGGGGTCTTTTTCCTTCAAAAAAGCTCATCCCCCTATTTCTTTTCATTTTAAAAAAATACAAAAGTGGCTTACAATGTGATCAAATATGATATAAAACAAGAGGAAAAAAATGATCTGAAAGCAGAATGTAAACAATCCATTAAAGGCAAGGAACAAATCATGGGGGAAGAAACAGACTTTAAAAGCTAGGCAAAGCCAACATAGAAAAAGGAACTCTTAAAAGGTGCCTAAAGCACAACTTTTTGGGGGTCATAGAGGAAAGAGGGTCCCAACTGGTAACCACCACTCTTTCCACATTCATTTCCACAGAGTGTAAAGAACAGGATCCAGATTATTTCAATCCATTTAAAACAGCAGTTCTATAACTCTCTATTCAAAACTAATTCCCTTCAAATAAAATGGGCCTTATTCCAGGTAAGTGGAATCTAATCTCTTCCATGAAAGCAAGATTTTTGCATAAATTATAATCTGGCAGTGATTGTAGAGAACACTGACTGGCAAAAGAAGGTTCAGATTCAATGCCTAATCTGTAGATGTATGCCTGGGAACTCTGGTAAGAACTTTAGTAAGCTTTGGCCAGCAACAGTGGTTTAAAATGATTTTTAGAACAAAACAAAACAAAGCTAACTCAGTATAGGACAATACACTGTGTTCCTTTTCACATATTTACACTTCTTTATCAAAAGCAGGATTGACTGGGGACGGGAAAGGATATTTAAAAAAATAAAGAGAGCAGCTATGATTTCATTATTGAAGACCTGCATCTTTTTTAAGTGTGTTGTATATGTGATTAATATATAAAAGGAGCAGGACTTCAATTATGCAGCCACTATCTTGACTTGTTGGACTTCCTAGATAGAAAATAGGTTGATTACTTGGATAAAGGCTTCTTCCATTTTCTGCAACAGAAAGTTCACACACAGTATTTCCATTCCCTTCATTCCAGGACAGCAATTTGTTTGCTGGAAACGTCAAAATTCTACCAGTTTTCAGATGTTGTAATGTTACCTATCAAAGAAAGAACAGGAAACATTTGCATAAATCTGAGGGGCTGGTTTTTACTCCCAAGTCTTGCCACAATTGCAGCACAATTAGTAAAAGAAAGTAAAATTAAAACTTAGGATAGCCAATAACTTAGTCATACCTCTTTCTTATAGTTAGCTTCAGAAAGCAGTACCTGATTTCACTTCTTTAAACAGAATTTTGAAACTGAACATTTTCAGTTTGATGAAAGACTTTTTCAGAAATTTATCTGATCACTTTATGTTCTAATGCTTTGTGCTTATTAGCCCATCTCCCTTTGCTGATATACACAAAATAGCTACATTGCCAGAAAAACCCCCTATGGATTTCCAGTAAGTTACTTGTTTCATTGAATGAAGGTCATCCTTTCAAATCCAGAAACCATACTTATGAACCTTGGACTCAGATGATAAAGAAAAATGAATCAACAAAATAGAAAAATAAAAATAAAAGAATCTCTGAAATAATGACAGTTGGACTGAAATATTTTCATTTCCATTTTGAGTGTTCTATTTCTAACATTATAAGTCCTTGAGTAGCAACTATTGCTATTGGAGTACCTCCTTGTAAATCAAGCTATCAGAATAAAACACAACTCTGCATAGGAATCAAGTAAGACACCAATCTACTTCTACTTCTCCAATAGCTGTATTGCAGAGCAAATACATGTATTCTAATGAAATAATCAACTTACTTGTGAGCAAAAGACAATAGAATGGGATCATGATTGCACTGAGGTAAAAGCTCTTTAGAACTAAAGTGGGAAACTTATGGGCCTCCACATACTGTACTATAGCAGAGGCTTCCAACCTATGGGCCACGCCCCACTACCGGGGCGTGGCCTCTTGGCCACCAGGCCGCATAAGTGGCTGGCCAGTGCATGCGCACGCTCACTCCTTGCCTTTGTGCTGGTGCTAGCTGAGCCGTGAATCTCTTACTGGTGCTAGGAGAGCCGCGAGCCTCTTGCCAGTGCTAGGAGCCGTGCACTAGTGCTAGCAGCCCCATTTGCAGAGTGTACATGCTCACGGCCCCACTCGCGCACACACACACACACACGGAGCCACATTTACGTGTGTGTGTGCATGCGTGCAAAAAAGTGCCTGTCCCTCCCTTTCCCATTGGGCCGCCAACCCAGCTGGCATGGCTAGTACTGAAGCGTTCTGTGACATGTCCTAACTTTTAGAGAAGATCAAAAACCAGTCATTATCTTAATGCACCCCTTTTTGTCAACCTACATATATTGACAAGAAAAATAATTATTGCCAAGTTAAGAGGTAGAAGATAATCTAAATCAGAGGTGTCAAACTGCCAGACTGTGGGCCGGACACGTCACGATGAAACCGCACCCACCCCATTGCCGGCAATGGGGAAAAAGCTCCGATACATCGCGCGATGTCACCTGACGTTGCGAGTTTGACATGTCTGATCTAGATGAATGTATTATTAAAATGAGATTTCGATCATGAACTTGTTTTAGAAAGTCCCTACCTGTGTGGATATTTATTTGTTTGTTATTTCTCTCTTTATTAGATTTATTTGCCACTCATTTCACCTCAAAGCAACTCATTTGATCCCCCTCCACGATGCCTCTGACTTTTTGTCAGTACCTTTTATGTACAACACTAAAAGCTGTAAACAATAAAATATAAATATTTCTAAAACCAGTAAAATAGAATTACAATCAAAAATAAAATTGCAGTTAAAAGATGAGAAGGTGGGGAGCAGGATGCGCATGTGAGATGTTCTAATCCATCAACCACCTCTAATGTGATATTGCCCCATTGAGGCTCCAAGCCAGTTTTGCAGAGATAGATCTTTAACAAATGGCTTACACCTATATGATAATATAATTTGATGAACAGTATTTCATATTGCATCAAGATAATTCTGGGCTATTTTTTTAAAAAAAATCTCTTGCTCATTTGTTTAAAAAGAAAAAGTATCTATTTATCTGTTTAAATAGCTAACCTATTGTCTTCTAGTTGTACTACATCAACTTCCTGAATTCCTAGCACAGGGTGCTCCCAACATATTAGGAGGCCATGAGATGGAGAAACTGGTCTAGCATATAATATTAAGTGACAAGGAATAAGAAACATTGCAAAGTATACCAGGAACCTGACCTTTTCCAACATCCAGTCTGCATGTTGACTTGATCCATCGTGGCCTATTCTGATTTTGTAAATGTTACCATTATCTTTCATTTCAACCTGAATAGTCAGAAATAAAAACATATACAACATGTCACAAAGAAATAGTTATGTTATATAAAAAGATAAGAGGTATGAACATAGCATGCCACATGCAGGTCCTGCAATTTATATGGAGCCCTGGGTTGATCTTTGAAGAGGTGCTTTCTTTCTGAAAAAAAACCCCAAAATGTCCCTGTGATGTGTTTCCATGGTCACAACAGTGAGCAAAGCATTGTATCTCTACTAACATCAAAGCAATTGGTATCTTTTCTATGAAGTAAGACCAGCCACCCATGCAACTGTATAAAGTACTATCTGATATGGATGTAGATATGCATTTGTATTTATACATATATGCACATGTATGCATATATACATACCTGCACACAGACATATATACACCAATATTTATTTATATGATCAGTAACATCATCATTATTGTTTTTTCATGAAGTCATATATATGGCGCTAAGCACACATTTTCTTCACAATCTGTATGTGATTACTTGATCTATTAATGCATTAAATCAGCCATAAAGTGAAATATTTATATTTAGTTCAGTCATTGAGATTCAGGGATGTTTCACTACATATATAACAATCTAATATTAAATGGGCATAGGATCAGTCAATTTAACATTATGAAGACAAAGCTGTAGAATCAATTAAGAAATTGTTTGATTAGAATATTAACTAATTAAGAAGAAATGTATTAAAATATATTATCTATACAAATTTTGAAATTTAACTTGAGATACAGCCTGTGTTAATATATTTGTAATATTTAGATTTTATTTGTACTGGCATCTAATCCACTTTGAGGGAGGGGAGAACGTGGGGAAGTTTATAAAATGTATAAAGACAAGGTGGCAGAATGAGCTTGTAATACAACATTTCTTGCCTTAATTGATCTCCCTCCACAATGGCTCTGACTTTTTGTCAGTACCTTNTAAATAGCTTCTAAAGTTTTCGATACTTGTTTTTGATTTTAAAGCATTCTCCACATCTAAGCTTCTGTTTCTAAATAAAAAAGTAAGAATATCCATGAAACATTGTGTTCCATCTCTGTCGTTCTATTGGTTCTCTATACAGTGCATTTTATATAACAATATAAATTCAATAACCCTTTGCAGCACAGTTTCATACCAAATAATCTGAAGGATCTCATGAAAATAATCTCATTTTAATCCCTTGGAAACCAATGAGATTTTATTAGTTTTATACCAACTGTTCTGACATGAACAGAAATTTGTCCTCTTTCAGCCTTTTCCACTTTAAGATTTTTATGACATCAATTAATGGGAAAGAATACATAAGCAACCAGAGCTATTGGTTTATGTTATATACATTGCTAGATTGCTAGGTCTAAATATATTTCAATCCTTCCATATCATTATTTTGTAATCTAGGGCAATGACAATATCCTTATAAACCACCCCAATAGTTGTAGCAGTGAAATTAGTACACAGCAGGCAATGAACTCATTAGGAATTCTAAGAACATGTTGTGGGTAAGGGGAAAGTTTACCTTTCTTTCCCAAAATATCGTGATGAACACAAATGGTAACTGAGCACACTTCCAAGCATAGCGGTCAAATATGGACACCCAACTCTTTCTTAAAAATTCTGCGACTCCCATGTAGGGTCCAAAAGCATGCTAGAGAAGATGCTTTGCTATGCTTCACATGTATTATTATTTATGCGTTTATTTTGAAAAATATCTTTTTAAAAAAAATGATATATAGCAGGGTAATTAGGTGTTTTCTTTTCTATTAGAATCCCAAAGGTGTTGTTCAAAAGGCAAGTGGGCATTCTGAACTGAAGAAGCTTCTTGGATGAGAAGTGAAATGTTTTCAGTGAAAAAAAACAAAAGAAAGTGTAGTTGCCTTTTGAACAACATCTTTGGGACAACCGTGACCTGGATGACTGAGAATTTCCATAGACATTTTCTATTGGAATCACATATTGCCTTTAAATAAAGAATTGAATTGAGATGTGTTTGACTATTAGTAGCTCGGGTTGGTAGTTGGCCTGTTGGTTTTGATCTCCGAGCTTGGTGATTTGATTGCAAATGTTTCGTCTCCATTCGGGGGGACATCTTCAGTGCGCTTTGAATTGTTTCCTTCAGTACAAAAAGAGCTATGTAGGCCTATACTACAAACCAGCTCAACTAGAGACTTTAATAGAAATCAAATTATTTTGATAGTTCATGTCTCACTAGGGATTCCCCCCCAAGAATATGACAGTGATGGAGAAATTGTTTAGTAGATGTTGGACATATCACATGAATGCAAATTAAATATCAAACCACATAATGTAAAATAACAAATATTCTCTCTCTCTCTTTCTCTCTCTATTTGAGGTAATTTTCTATATTTCTCTATTATTCAAGGTAAATTATTCTGATACTTTGAATAAGGATAATCCTTGTCACTATGTTCAGTTTCATTCCTATATGGATATGACAGCCTACAGGGTGGCATAACACTTGGCATATGTTGCTGCTCTGAGTATATCAAAGTGGGATGCCACAAAATGCACTTCGGGTGCTACACTTCTGAAGATACAGCTTGAAAGAGTCAGGTAGGATATGTTATCACTCTATCAGTTTGAATATCACTCTTGATATTCAAACCATACAAATCAGTGAGTTCAGAAGGAAGAGTGTATGTTCAGAGATTAAAGAACCAGAGTAATTGAAAAGATGTAATAAAATATTGCTGACTAATTGAGCTAAGATAATTTATTATTAATACAGAGACTAGATTCACACATCATATCATATTATGATTTGGTGCTAACTAGGATATGTAATATAAGCAAAATGATTCAGTTAATACATGACACTAACCCATTAACCTGATTTGTTTTTAACCAAATTAGAAACCCACCTAGTTCAGTGTGTTATCTGTTATAGGAACTAGCCAGATAGCAAAGATAATCCTCTCAGGCTAATAATTCCAAGGAACGTGCCAAGACACCTATTTTGACAATGATATGATCAGAAAGCATTGAAGCCATTCTTAAAGCTTGCATTCTTGATTCAACTCATGTTCAAAAGTTCATCTCCCAACTTGACCTAGATAATTCAAGCCCCCTTCCTCCTTTTCCTTCTTTTTGATTCCCTTATCACATCTTGCAATAAACTAATGCAACTTGAATTCAAGATTCCTGATAATCAAAGAGAGTGAAGCAGCAAAATTTTGAAGGAACAATAATATGTAATCTGTTAAAGGCTGTGAAAGCCTTAAATTCTCATATGCTCAGACAAATGAAAATCAGGAAAACAGGATATTAAGTATTCTTCATCAGATGCAGAGAATTGGGGTGAAGGACTAATTGTTAAAGGGGAAATCTGTCAAATGGAGATGATGTTGCACTGTAATAAATATTGAGTTTTAAAACAGAAGATGCTGTGATGAGGAATAAGTTATCTAACCACCCAGGAACCAACTAGCCAACTAGTCATGGTTGACTTGCACGGTTGATTCGCCAAGAACAACTTACCGTAGCCAACTCACCACAGGCCAACTCACTAGGACAATTCATCAATTCAATTTAATTATTTAAAATAATTAAAAAAATATTTTAACTTTTTGTCATTCACATTTCATTTTGTCCCTCCTTTGACATCCTTTCTTTGATGATTCTATTCCACCATTTCTTTCAGTATTCGTGTAAATTTTGTCCCATGGTGAGTTGTCCCATGGCGAATCGGCCATGGGGAGTTGTCCCAAGGTGAGTTGGCTGTGGTGAGTTAGATTCTTACCAATTTTTCCTCCCCACACCCACCTAAGTTTAAGATAAATGTACAAGTCTTCAGAGAAAAATGGAGAGCATTCTGGGTCATTAACATACTTCAGAAAGTAGTTTTACTATTATTATAATTCATGTATCCTAATTATTTTTGAAATTAAACTATTAAATTAAATAACTACATTATTTAACCTGAAAAATAAATCATTTCATGCTTTGTGTATCACATGCACTATAAAAGAAACTCTTTAAAAGCATATCTTCTGTAAAATGATTTTTAAATTATTGTTTTTCTAAATAAAAACATGGTGGATAGCTCTGCTGCACAATGTCTTAGTACTGTCCATTCACTCCTCTCTTGATGCTCATTTAACTAAGTTTCCTGTTTGCCTTTTCCCTCGGAAGACACTTCTAGCTACACCATGTTCCTATCCACAATCTTCACCTAGAACAGGATAAGTTCCTGTCCCTCGCATATAAAATTAATTGATTTAAATCAACTAGTTCATGTTTTTCAAACTACAAGTTTGGTTTGTTTAAATATAGTTTACTGAATAAGCCTCAAGAAAAGTCGGAGAGTTTTTTCCCTTTCTGGAAAGCTTAAAGATCTATGATGTTTCTTGTAAATTAAAAAGGGATTTATGTTTAATATATAACATTAATCCTTTTTAATAGGAACTTATTCAATTTTATGAGAAAGCCCTATTCAAATTATCTTCATTAGAAAGTGCTGCAAAGTACAGGTGTCAAGCTCAATCAGTTTCCACCAAGGCAGTCATTTGGTGAAGTATTCCTAGCAGGTTCTCAAAATTCTCCAAGAAAGGTTGGGTATGGTAGCTTTGTGCTTTCTATTGGCCCAGACATTGTAGTTTGTAAATCATTGTCCATGGATTATTGTGTTTCAATGTAGCATATTCAGTAAACTATGGTTAAACAAATAATGACTTGTGATATAGGAAACCACAGAATGGTTTGTCTTCTTTAATGGTAGCAGGGGCATAGCAATTCACAATTTGGAGGTGGCAACTCAATGATCTGAAATGTTGAAGAGGAGAAAGATTACATTCTGTACAGGAATTATCTGTACTTACATTCCTTCCAAATGCATATTGAATAATATGAGCCAAAGGCTGCATGATTGTCCTCTAGCAATTGCTAGATCAGCTTTTCTTAATAAATTGTAACTCTATCTTTTTTCCATCAGTATAATTATTCACCACTGTAAAATAAGGTAAGCTGGCAAGGATTTTCTCCCCCATGACTAAATGCTTTGGCTTACCTTGTCCTTTCAAGGCAAACATAATTTCAACTCACATGTTTCCTATGCAGTATGAGATCTGCCTGTCCACTTACTGAAATACTGTGGCTTACATTTCAAAATTTCTTGACCTAAATTGTATATCAGCATCAGCATCTGATGCTTATAGCAAACCATTAGACAGTTTTCATAACTTAATGATCACAACTTGGAGAGAAGAAGGGCTGCAACTCTCAGAATTTGTCAGTCTACATGGCCAACAAATATGAAAGATACCAGGCTTAAAATAACATAATTTGAAAAATCATGCTTATAATTGACCAGCAACACTGAGTCTATTCTAACCCACTGAAAATAAAAATCCATTGACCTCAGTGCAGGACTCAAAATAAAGTGCATCTATAAATTGTAATATGCAAGATATTGCAATCCATTAGAAAAACATAGAATAAAGTATACAGTTCATACAATGAAGCCATTTACCTTACATATTGGAAAACAGCCAGACCCAGCTTAGAAGTATGTCTTATACTATAGCATTCCAATAACTGAAAGACTGCTTCAAGGAAGAGGGTGTGGGTTTATTTTCCTTAGTGTCCAAGTGTAGGATAAGAACCAAGTGGAAGCTTTCACTTAAATGAGTAGGAGATATTTTAAAAAAAGGATTTTCTGCAGTGAAACAGCCTGCCTTCTGGAGCTGTGGACATTCCATCCCTGAAAGTTTTCAAGCAAAGGGTGGACAACCTTTCGATTAGGACAGTAGGCAAATTGCCACCTTGGGCAGGGATTTTTAAGCTCCTTTCCAACCCTTTGGTTCTATCATTTTATTTTCAAAAATTAATCTGCTGAATATCTCAGTATCCATCACCTTTTCTATTTCTGAGTTTGAAAGAAAAACCTCAGGTCAATTGGGTAGGCTAGGCTGGGAAGTTAAGAAAAACCAAATAACATCCAGGAGAAAAGCAGTGGCCAATTATTTCTATAGTGAATAATGCAATGAAGTCACCAAGAGTCTACTTGAATAGAAGAAAATTTAATGTTTAACTGTCTTAAACACTTGGTTTCTAGATTGTCCCTGCTCTTGTAAACATGGAAAGAATGAGATGGGATGGGATGGGATGGGATGGGATGGGAAGGGAAGGGAAGGAAAGGAAAGGAAAGGAAAGGAAAGGAAAGGAAAGGAAAGGAAAGGAAAGGAAAGGAAAGGAAAGGAAAAGAAAGGAAAAGGATACTTTTGCTATTTGTTATATGGAGAACTGATTTAATACTGAACACAAATACATTAGATAGATTTATTTCAAGCAGCAAGTTTGGAGGAGGTATTTTCCACATCAAAAGAAAGATGAATTTGTAGGAAAAAAATCCAGCCAAGCTTTCATTAGTTACCTGAAATGCATCTTCAGTTCTTGGTAGAAACAGTTGTCCTCTGTTGTCCTTGCCAAGAATAATAGGTCCAACAGAACCTTTGTCTCCATATATCCAGAGAGTGACATTTGCTTGAGTTCCTGAATTTCCTGTCAGTATGAATACTTTCCATTTATCCTCTGAAGGAAAAGGGGACTTTTCATTTTGAATAGTAATCATTTCCTCTGAAAAGTATAAAATATCAATAGATCAAGATGGATATGCATTTAGAGGTTTCTTTGAAAAACAAGGTAAAAAGTGGAAGGGGATTTTTTTAAAGATAGGGTCATAATACTCTGATCAACTGGTATAACTAAAAAACAAAACTTAAGCCACAAGTGTGAAGAACACTGTCAACATCAAGGCTACCAAATGTAGCACTGGTTGTAAATTCTTCCATGTGGCAACTGTCGCACATAATGACGTTTCTTGGTGCAACAACATCAATTCACCTTGCAGCAATATGGGCAGCAAACCAATTTAATAAATAATTAAATTAAATTAATAATAAATTCCACATAGTTGAAATAGGTTACTGTCTACTGTACAATTGTCCAACATCACTAAAAGGGTCATTAGAACTTCTAATGTGGAACCATCTCATTTCAGATACCAATTAAGTCTCAACATTTTAATTCCTGCTATTAGGCAATTATTCTGACAAATTATTGTTCACAGCTGGTTTGATCCTTTGTAGACATTTTAGTTATATGTATTAGTCTTTTTAACTAGTTACGGATAACTTTTATAAAAGCTGGTTGTGCACTGCCTAGAAAAATCCCATTTTCAACAGCAGCACAGGAAGGAAGGATTTATCTAAACATTTGAGAAATGTTCACCTTGTACTTTGCACTTTTTGCTTTCACACAAAAAAATCAAACATGCTAAGATGTCAATGAAAAATAGCTTTTAAAGTGTGTATTTTTCCATAGGTTACTCTTTCTTAACCTCATGCTCTTCTCTGGTGTATTCAAAATAAATCTTATCTAGCATATGTTGCAATCTCAACAGACCTGGAAGGTGACTGGGTAGAGAAAGGTTGTTTTGCTTGACCACATGTGCTATAAATTATATGGCTTGATGTAATTGCCACTTACTGAGAAAACCATTGTAAACATTGCAACTGGATACCTGAAAGTAGCCCCCCCTGCCCCAAGGAAGCAATAAACAGTTGGTTGCCAGCCAAGCATGCAATCACTTGATAGGCATGTATCTGAAATCTGAGACTTGACATTTGAAAAACTAAATGTTAAACAAAGGATGGAGAAAGATAGGTAACACCGAATTAATGGGTTTTTTTGGTTTGTTTCAAATCCTGTGCAAGCTAATTATGGATTACTTGAATCATTCACTTATCAAGAATGAGGATGAGTGTGAACTTCTGATTCAGAATCTGTTGGTGTTTGGAACAGCAAATGAAACTGAGATAAAAGAAAAAAAGTAAAACTCTCCTGGCATTATTCCACCTCTTGTGAGATAGCACTTCCACTTTTAAAACACTCACATTCCTTTCTTCTGCAAACGAAGGTGAGAAAGTGTGACAGACACTTAAGAAATCCTACTTTTATAGATGGCAACAAGATAAATTCTCCTGCATTCATTCCCTATTCGGTTTGATAACAGAGAATTTCTCTTTAGTGTTCTTTCCCAGAATAAAAAGATTTGGGAAGAAGTCTTGATGGGAGGAATGTCACTTTCTTGCACTTGGTTGTGAAGTGGCCAAAACTGTGTGCGTGGATTTCCTGCTTTTCTCTGCACAATCATCTGCAATTAGTCATGGCAGGACTATCATCTCCAATGTACTGCAATCTCCCCATCTTAAATTAAACCCAAAGGAAAAACATAATGAGAAAATTCCTTGCTTGGGACTTTTTACAGAGCTCTACCATGACTAATATCATGACTAAGGAGTCCTGACTTTGAGAATTGGATAATTTCTGTTTTAATGTCAGAAAGGTGAGAAAATCAACCATCCAAGAATGGTTGGTTGGAATTTCTGGCCAGGAATATGAGAGAACAAAACTTTTCAAGGTCATCAGACTCACCCTTACTTCTATAATACAGAATAATATAGAGTTGGAATGGACTTTGGAGGTCATCTAGTCCAACCTCCTGCTTGAGCAGGAGAGTTTATACCAGGGGTAGGCAACCTTGGCTCTTTTATGACTCGTGGACTTCAACTCCCAGAATTCCTGAGCCAATGGAATTTGCTATTTTCTGAAAAGTGAATGATCACTACCCTACATTAATCATTCTCCAGGGAATCAAACTGTAAACCAACCATGACAAATACAATGAAAAACACATAGATGTATATACACAAACACTTAATAGATGGGGAGGGGGGGAACTAGACTGGTTATAACATCAAAATGAGTAAGTGAAAATTAATTCCAGTAAAAGCCTTTCTGATTAGTAGTTTTATATCATTTGGCTGAAATACATTTTAACCAGTTATTTTTGGGGGATGGAAGGAAATGCTGCAGCCATTACCAATTTATAACATTTGAAAGATTTGTGCTCCTTTGGGCACTTTGTTGTGGTAAGTTAGGCAACATTGCTAACTTACAAATATAAAGTGGGACAATTTCAGAGCAATAATTGGTAGAATATCTCACTTTCTTCCTGTTCCACTCAACACCACATACTGTATTGGTGGTGATACCTAACCTCAGGGCTTTTTTTGTCATAGAACGCCCAGAATGGAGTCCCGGCACCTTTTTTTTGATAGAACCTTGTAGGGTAGGCAAGGCGGGTTGTATGACGTGTGTGAGTTCCGGCACCTTTTTTTTTTTTTTTTTTTTACAAAAAAAGCACTGCCTAACCGTAACTCTTTCCTGGGATGGTCTTATTTTATTTATTTATAATTTAATTTGTATCCCGCCCTTCTCCTCACCGGACTCAGGGCGGCTAACAGCCTTATAAAACAACATTACAATAAATATCCATATTAAAACCAAATTAAAAGAAAATATTCGTAAAGGCCAATCGTTAAAATTACCCTTATATTGTTATATTGTTTGCTTATTTGTGTTTCAACCCCACCCCAGCCTCAAAAAACAAAAAAATATAATTATACTTTCTAAGAACAACGCATTATTTAGAAGTATGCACATCTTATATGTTATTGTTGTCTAATAAGAGCAAGCTTTCTCATTCTGCTGACTGAACATTTAATCTTTTGGAGAAATGGATTTTACTGAAGTCTTCTTGCCTCCTGGGTTTCAGCTTTCAGGTTTTTTTCCCTATGATTTCCGCCCACATTAATAAAGATCTAAGTTTCAGGAATCTGATTGCCCTCTAAGTGCTGGTATCTATGCTTTTTCACAAAAAGAAAATATCAGAGAAAGAATAAAGTAGCAGATTGTTCTACCGATGTCAAACAAACTAACACACAAATGCTTGCAACTATTTTGTCAGGTAACATTTTCATTCCATTTTTCCATCTTTTTTTTTTTTTTTGGCCATGGGAGACTTGCAGCCAATGGGATTCATCAGTTTTTTAGGAGAGATGATTTGCCATCCCCCCTTCTCTCTGTGTCTCTCTCTCTCTCAACAGAAGGAGAAATTGGCATGGAGGACACATCCAAAGCAGACTTCAGCAGTCCACGAGAGAACCCTACTCCTAAACACATCATTGTGAGCAGCATCTTCATTGTTCATACAACAAGATTAATGTAGGGAGAAAAAGGGAGACACCTCTTTAACAGCAGAACAACTAAAATAACTCCAAGCTGCGTCCATAATAACCTGAGAATGAGACAGAAGTGATGTCATGAAGAGAAAT